TTGGGATCCACATTAAGAAGCCTAATTTATGTGTCCAAAAGAAGAAGCTGGTTCAGACATTGTCCTAATCTTGGCCATCTAGGTTCGAATGATCCTGAATTTTCGTGGGATTTTCCTAATTTTAGTTGGTATTCTATTTGCTACTATATCTTTATTATTATAATTCAAGCAACTTTAATGAACTGTAATTCCATCGATCTTACTTTACAAATCGATATTATTTAAAAAACACACCAACAGTGTTATTGACTACTATTCTAGAATACTCTATGTATATAAACATGCACGTAGAGCCAGAAGAGGAAATTATCTATCGAAAAGGATATTCTTTGCTCAATTATTTTGTGTTTTAAATCAATACATATTCCATATCCCTGCTTTAACACAGTACAGTTTATAAAGAACATAATGCATATTAAAGCAGACTGAAAAGATCGATATGGGCATCCAATTTGATGAAATCAAAGGAACAGGTATACATTACTCACTTGTATGACAATTTAGGCATAAGCAATGTTCATAACATTGCAATAATGAGATAGATGGCAACCGGGTATCGAAGCTCAGTTTGTATGATGTTGAGCTGATGATAACCAAGGGGGGGGGATTCATATGTTTACGGAAGTGTGTGTGTACCTGAAACAGAAAGAGAATTAGCGTTGTGTGACAGCAGAGCTCAGGGGACAACTGCCTGCCTAAGATTTGCTGGTCACACACAGCCTGTTTGAACTGGCTTTTAGGTTTGGTTTCGTATTAGTAACTTACTGGTGGACTACGAACCATCGTAGGTAGGGGTAAGTCGGGATGTACAATTTTCGGAGTTGATCTTTTCTAGCCTCTTCTCTCCAGAGTGGAGAGACAGTAAATGTGTAGAAAAATCTTACACTAACCCGATAACTGCTTTTAGTCTAATGGTTATCCTAACAATCTTCGTGGCATGGTAGGACCTGCAGGAACATTAATTCCAGCCAGTGTAGGTTGTTGGGTGATTGAGATATGGGGAAGCCCGACCACCACGTCAAGGTAGCAGCCATCGATTGGGAATGTTTAACTCATAATCTGGAGGAGGCCACTCGGATTCAGATTTTCATCTCATCTTTATTCATCACTCATTACAAACAGTAAGTTTCCCATGTTATATATAACTAATGGAAAGCACACCTCGGTGATGGAATTTCACCACACAGTTGTCTGTGGATATATGTCGAAATTACCTACTCAGATCACATAAATTATGCTATGTGGGCTTTTGACACCTTAAAAATGATAGTCAAGAAAGCAAGGCTAAGAGTGCAGGATGCCATATTCCACTGATTAACTGATATGAGTTAAGGCCTGCAGATAAGTTCAGCATCAAAGGAGCGAGTGGATCACTGAGAGCTGACTAGCGAACACCGCTGCTTGATGTAAGTGATATACGACTACTCATTTCTATTAGTCAGTAGTATGTAGCATCATTTATTTGTGGTTGCTTTCTCGATTACCGTTTATATTAGTATCATTCAGATCACTTACTGCGATCTGAATTATTTTAATTTTCAAAAGAAACTGTGTTGAAATTTTTAAATCGAACTGTGTAAATTGCAATTTAATTGTTGGATGGGGACTAGCAGTGGAATTCAGGATAAAGCGCATTTCGTCCAATCTGGGACTTGTTAGCTGGATGTACCTGCATCCCCCAAATAGTCAGTGATAATGTTCCCACCACCGAGGCTTGAACCCAGTGCCCATAGTTTCAAACGCCAAAGCGTTATCCACTAGACCACTTGAGCTACGATAGCCACTGTCTCTTTTGCAGCGTGTCATATTAATTATTTAATTGAATTTTAGATTTTCCCGTCGATCGATTGGAGACCGAAGTGCTTGGTCTCAGGTTGACATGTCGGCTTCTTGTGCAGATGCTTCGATGATGTCTGGGCATTTAATTAGAATTTAATTGGTGGATGGTCAGGAAGTCTACGCCTCTGCAAATGGCTTAAACGAACTGTCTAAGATTTCATGGATCGATTGCGTGTTTTGATTCGACCACCACTAACTCTTTTCCGACCTGATCCTACGTCAGCTAACATTGTCCGTCGGTCGTGGAAGGCGATGGCTACGCTAGGCATGCATAGTACATGTCTTAGTCATCTCAATCGATGTAACTTCAAAACCTCATTGATCAACCTAACCTCCTTACCTATCAGTCGACGGTCACCCTCAGTTTTACTCAGCTAATGCTGCACTGAGTAAAGAAGTGAAGTAGAGTGCTAGGAAAGACAAAAGACAATCCTAGGACACACTAGCTGGCAACTAAAGCAGAACAGGTGGCCTCAGGCAAAAGAGACTTAAGGACATTATATCTGATAACCAGGTCTCTATCCGGGAAGAGATCAACCCAGATGATGAAACCAATAAAAGATGCTCAAGGAGACAATGGGCTATTCATTTTAAAGGACTCTTAAATCGAGCATCACCTGCAACTCGCCCAGAAATACACCACCACTAACAGCACGCAGAGAATTACCTGCCAGTGGACACCAATCCTCCGACAAAAGAAAATCCTAAATGCGATCATGCTACTGAACTCCAGTCGGGAGGGCAGCAGGACCAGACGGCATCCCTCCCGAAGATTGACTTGTTACCAGGGAATAATCTCTTCGACTTAGAATATGCGGACAATATAGTCCTTCTAGGCGAGGACGCTGACAAAATGCAGAGTCTACTGAACACCTTGAGCAACAATCTTCGTATGTTTGGCTTGCAATTCGCCCCTGTAAAATGTAAGATGATGCTGCAGGATTGGACTACACCGACCCCTAGATTAGAAATAGGAAGTGAAGTGGTAGAGCACGTTTACCGCTTCACTTACTTGGGAAGTACCATCAGCCCCAACGGGTTGATCTCTGACGAAATCTGAGCACGAATACAGAGGTCTAGTTTCGCATATGCCAGTTTACGCCGTCTCTGGCGTAGACGTGATATCCAGCAGGCTATCAACCAAAGGGCGTGTGTAATGCTCATCAATCCTCTCCGTCCTCCTTTATGGCTGTGACTGAGATATGGCCATTGAGAGTGGAAAGATTAGCTGTCTTTGATCATAGGTGTCTGCGTTCTATCTCCCGTGTGAAGTGGTATGATAAGGTGAGCAATATTGAGGTTAGGCGTCGAGGGTTAGGTAAGGCGGGAAAATCAATAGACGAGGCTGTGAAATTACATCGACTGAGATGGTTAGGACATGTTTTACGTATGCCTAGTCATTACCTTCCTCGACTGACTGACAATGTTAGCTGACATCGAGTTAGGCTGGAAAAGAGCTGGCGGCGGTCAAACGAAAACATGGCCTTAGTCAATGAAATCTACAACAGTTAGTTTAAGCTAGCCACGTAGGAAGGTGTAGACTTCCTGGTTGGGGTCCTCGGGACGGTAAAAACCAACGAAGGCTGGAGACAATCGGTGACACGGCTCAAAATCGTTCTCAATGTCTGGCGCAAATGCATCCACTCCTTGTGACTCATGATTTCCAATGAAACTGTCTTGTTATTCGTTATTACTATACCTTTGTCTCGCACCTCTGTTTACTGTCTATATTATGCATTTCTTCTACTTTCTTCTCTTGCTTTGTGTGCTACATGGAGTGTGGCGACTTGAACTGCCGCATATATGTGCAAAGTTCTATGTCAAAAACCGACTGACCGAACGATCCCTCCCGGAGCACTGAAGACGACTCCAGAGATTACGACAGATGTTCTCACGCCATTACTGCAGAAGGTTTAGAAAGAAGGAAAGGTGTCTACTGATTGCAAGAAGGGCCTTGACCTCGTCAAATTGCCAAAGAAGGGCGACTTAAGCCTGTGCAAGAACTAACTGGCGTGAAATAATGCTTTTGTCTACGCCAAGTAAAATACTGAGTCGCGTCATCTTGGAAAGAATAAAAGATGCCCTAGATGCACAGATCCGCGCGTAACAAGCTGGTTGGATTCAGGAAAGGCAAATCATGTGCTGATGAAATTAAAACTCTACGCATCATCATCATCATCACACAACAAAGAATCGAATGCCAGTCAAACTTCTACGTAAACTTCATCGACTTTGAAAAGACCATCGACAGACAGCATTGGCCGAGAAGTAATTTGGAAACTACTTCAATACTACGGTGTCGTTGAAGGAAGGAATAATAATAATAATGATAATAATAACACGGAAAATAGACTGCAATATATCTATGATCAAAGATAGCTACCTAATCTTTTCATATCTCCCTCTTTCAAGGGTCGTGTCTCACAGCCATAAAGCCGGATGGAGTCAACTTCTGGGCAGTACATTCATCCTCTAATCGATAGTTATTAGTGTTCTGCAGAAATTCAAAACAGCGCATTGTTTTCATTCAGTTTCATTTACGAAGGCGAGAAACACACTCATCAACCTAAAACCAATCTGGAAATCTTCGTCACTTAGCCTGCATCAACAACAAAATTCGGATTTTCAATACAAACGTCAAATCAGTTTTGCTATACGGGTCAGAAACTTGGCGGGTCACAAAGAATATTTTCAACAGCCTGTTACAGACCTTTATCAACAACTGTCTTCGCTGGCTCTATACTGAAGATCAGATGGCCGCCGGAAAGAATCACCAACAAGAAACTATGGGAACAAACAAAACAAGAACCAATCGCCCAACAAATATGCAGGAGAAAGTGGAGATGGATTGAACACTCGCTGAGGAGTCCGCTGGGCAACATCGCGCGTCAGGCCAGTGCTCGAGTGGAACCCGAAAGGGAAGCGGCGAGTGGGACGTCAGTGCTAGGGTGACATGGAGGAGATCGTGTGAAGAGGAGTTGAAACGGTATGGAATAACATGGGTGCAGGTGAAAAGTACATCAGAAGACAGAAGCGAGTGGAGACGTGTAGTTGAAGCCCTATGTTCCACTGGAAATCCAAGGGAACAATAGTAATAATAATAACATTGTTTTCATTCACCAACCTTTTATTATTATTATTATTGTTAGTACACCAGTCAATCAACTCATCATCTTACTGACAATATCAGTTATACATCCCAGCTGAAAGTACTCATCAATATCAAAATCAATTTTATTCAAAATATTTAATACACTTGTTGTTAGGCAAAGCATCCAACCATACTTTTCAAAATATTCCTCTCTTATACTATACTGTAGATTCAATGGAATTTCGAGAATACTGTCGCTTGACATTGATATATATTCATTCTTCCCATCAGCATTTAACTCATTGAATAATCTTTCAATAGTGACTTTAATTGTCGACTTCTTATCCACTTGTTGCTGTGTTTCACAACCTGGTGTAATTTGATATAACGGGGTTATAATCTCCCGACGGATATCCAATATAATATGCTGTAATACATCTAAGGTATTCAATGTCCTACTGACTAGTTGACCACGTAATCCTTTGGGATCGATAGAACTGCCTATTTGACCTTGAAGGTAGAGATTTAAATTTTTCATGTCTGTTATACTTTTCACACCATTCATGATGATGTTGATTAGATTAGATGAATCATTTGTTTCTTGAACGTTTTCAGCTTGTAGACATTTTAATTGTTCTAAATAGACAAGAAAATCCGGTATCGATGCAATAATCTTGTTATTCATTTCTTTTGGATGCCATAGTTGATTTTGAAATATTCTCCTCTGGGCTAGTTTTGCATAACGAGCCATATTCAAATTTTTCTCTACAATGGGAGGAGAAGGGAAGGGGAAAACAAATTTCAAAGCAGACAAAATGATTAATTATTTATTGTCATCGTTGGTTTTCTAAATTTAATTTCGGTTGAACTGAAATGTTCGAGCCTCTGTTGCCATGTCTGGCTCAATGATGTCTGAGGATTAACTTGGTGATCATCAGTGGAATCCAGGGTATGCACATTTCGTCCCGTTTGGGACACTTCAGCTAGATGCAGATGTACCTGGATTCCTCAGTGAGTGATGATGTGCCCACTAGGAGTCAAACACGATTATTTACTGAGGAATGCAGTTGCATTCAAGTGACGAGTCCCAAGCAGGACGAAATCTGCATGACCTGGATTTCACTGCTAGTTACCACCCACCAAATTACTTCTAAGTACTTCATTATCATTTGTTATTATCATCGCCTTTGCATGGATTGGATAGACTACAAGGGCAACTCTAAAGAATAGGAGCCTAAACAAAAACAACCTACGAACGCACAAACAACCTTGTCAAGGACAACTTCGACCAATCAGAAGGCTCAGAAAAGACGGCGCATAATTGTAAAATGTCGTTTATATAAAAGTAATGCAATGTTAGAAAAATAATTACAATGGATAACGTTCTCGTATATGTTGCGAGAAAGCTCCCAATTTCTCATAGGATGCCTGATACTTATGTTAAACCAAGTCCTGTACATAAACTCATAGAGATAACTGTATATCATTGCATTTCTTGATCCATTCACAGATCTGATACGTTGTTTTAGGTGACTCAAGAAACTTTCGATTGAATTAGTATGAGTTCCATCCAAAGGATTGCGAAAACCGTTTGTGTGGTTGACTGCATGATGAATATACCCGAGATTCGACAATTGACCGTAACTGGTCCATTCGTCTGCTTGAATGGTGGTCCCAGGTAGCACTAAGCGCTGAATGATAGGCAATAATACACCTGCACTGAGATTAGGAATCGCCTCACAATATATCCTTTTTGGAGAGTGGTGTCATAGATACCCAAAATCCATTGCTGGTTTGCTCGTAATCTGCCGCGATTATATTTCCTTTTTATTAATACGGTCTCATCAATTTGAACGATTACGCCAACTCCTCCAAAAACAAGATCCGGAGCGAATTTACAACGCAAAAGGTGTAGAGCATCCATAATTACTTCTAGAAACAACAGAGTCACCTGATTGGTTTCTCAAGGTCGTTTGTGCGTTCGTAGGTCGTTTTGGTTTGGGCTCCTATTCTTTAGAGTTGCCACTACAAGTTAGGTCATGGAACCAGGGAGTATTGAACAGTTATTTTATCCTAGTTTGGGTCTCTTCTGCAGTGCGCATACACACATGACCCAATTGGGGTGTTGAACCCAGGAACTTATGCCTACAAGGCGAGCTTCTTGACTACTCAAACACTGGGAAGGAATTCAGTGACTAGGACATGAATTGTAACTTTGCCAACTTGTGTGACATATAGTGTTGTGGTGAGAGCTGTCTGCTAACCAAAATTGGGGCAGACAGTAATTTACGTCAATGTTTACGTCCCAAATATTGGTCATGCGAAAAAAATACAAGAACAAAGACTAACACAGCAACCAATCAGAGCAGACTTTGCGTAGGCGGATACAATTAGCAGACAGGTGATCTGACCTTCAAGAAACAGCCACAAAGAGATGAAAGATTAATTTTCAGTGAGAAATAACCAATCAGAAGACTGTGGTTGTCTGCTAAAAATAATCTATAATAATGTACATGAAAATCTATAAATATCTGTTGATTTCCTTAATAAACGATATCATCATGAATAAATCGGATTATCAAAATAAGATGAATAATATCCTCAAAGATCAGTCCAAATTTCTGGTGGACAATGCTACTGATAATGTGCTGTTTGTGGAAAAGCAGATCAATCGTCAGCTTCAGATTTTACTGATGCATGGTTTCATAAATGAAAAACTTTATAACTTAAAGCAATTGGATCACATACTCTCCGGCTATATGACCTTTCGAAGATCCACAAAATTGGGAACCCACTAAGACCCATCTTAGATATGTCGAATTCTCCATACCATAAAATCGCAAAATGGATTACAGAGGTCCTTATGCCTGTAAGAGACTCATTATCAAGTCATTCTGTAAAAAGTTCATTTGATCTGACAGATATACTAGACACCTTGAACATTAAGGAAAAGGTTATGTGTTCAATCGACATAGAATCTTTATTCACCAATGTTTCTATTTATTAAACTGTTGATTTCATTTGCGATTACATCCCAAGCAATAGTATAAACTTACCTATTCCTGTCACTTACATCAGAGACATCATCTTAATGTGTACAGAAAATATTAGATTCACCTTCCAAGAAAAGGCATGCAAACAAATCGATGGTGTTGCTATGGGGAGCCCTCTTGGGCCCCTGTTAGCAGATATATTCATGTCAAAATTGGAGAAACAAATGCAAGGTATGCTTGGAGAATTTATGCTATATAAACGTTATGTAGATGATACTCTCATTATTGGTAATAATAGTAAATCTATTGAAAACTTTATTACCCTATTTAATCATATTCATCCAAATATCCGAGTGACTTCCGAACTCGAATCGAATAACAAACTCGGTTTCCTGGATATTACAATGACCAGGAGAGATGATGGTACGATTCAGCGATCTATTTTTCGTAAACAGACATGGAGTGGACAATATCTTCATTTCACCAGTTTTGTTCCTATCCAGTATAAACGTTCCCTAGTGTGAAATGTTTGTTCTCAAGGGCCTGAAAAATATGCACGAGTGACACATTGATGGATGAGCTTCGACATATACATTCAGTTTTATTAGCTAATGGTTATCCAGAAAACTTTATCAATTGTCACAGTAAAGAAAGACCACATCTCGAAAAGACAGCTTCTGTACCAAAGAAAGCTATCTTTATTAACCTACCATTCAAGGGTGACCAGATTATGTAGTTGACAGCTATCTCAAAGACTTCGATCAGCCATCAAACGCTCATTCTACCCCGCATCTCTTTTTCTCACTTGCCGAACATTTTCGATCCTTGTACCTACGGTTAAAGGATGAAATTCTATGGAATCTACTTCAAACTGTGTCTACAAGTTCACCTGCAGCTGCGGTGACACCCATATAGGTAGAACCAACAGAATGTTCCAATGTCGTCAGAAAGAACATGTTCCAAAATGGTTACTAAATCATATAGAAAATCCCAATGCCAGTAATCTGAATAGAAATCCAGCATCATCCATTGCAAAACACTTATTAGTGTCAGGTCACAAAATCAATATTAATGACTGTTTCACAATTATTTCACATAACTCTAATTCAAGGTTATTGAAGGTGATGGAAGCACTTTGGATTAATCACATACAGCCTAAACTGCGTGTACAAAAATAACAATAGACTTCAACCTTCGCCTACCATGAACTGACTAAATGACCTATTTAAGTATGACTGGTCATTAGTATGTACTTTTGCTTTCTTTTATTTAACTGAGTAATTGTCATGATCTTTATTTTATTATTATTAACCATGTTAGTTGTAAAGCGGTTGTAAAGAAACTACGAAATGACGATATCATCTCGCGAAATTTGTCTTCTAAATGCCTTATTCAAACGATCTGTTGCCTGACTCTATCCGGTATTTGTCCTTAGATTGAATTTGGTGGACACTACTGGCCACGACTACTCTCATTAGAACTTTAGGCACTCTGTCCTCTTCCTTATAAACCATCTGTTATTGTCTGGAGTGAGTAGATTTCAGTCTTTCTCTAGGAATGTTCTCCTGTAGCCACGTGCGCCTTCATAGCCTCTTACAGGTAAGTTCTATTCACTCACACTGTCTTCACGTGGTGATAAGGGGGTTCCTCAAAAGAGTGAAAACACGAGTGTGAACGTCTAGCACTTACATCCAGACTGGTTTCCTGGTGTGATAATCTACCTATGGGGGGGGGGGTGGGGGCTTGAAAACCCTGACTCCAAGCCTATGGCGTACATAGACTCCAGAAATTGAAGGGATAGAAGTGGCGTAAGAGGCTTCTTTGCTCACAAGAAATGGTGGGAATGCGGCTCGTGGTGCGCACCTACTGAGTTGTTGGTTCAGGCTTGAAGTTGAAGGCACCAGGTGGTGGGGGTCCCCCATGAAAACCATCCAGCCCCCACACAAACTTTCTTGGAGTTCCTCCGTTTGTCCTGAGAAGTCGTGACCAGTGGGGCCCAAGAAGTCACATGTGGGAGTAAATACTAGCTGATGGCATTGAGTGGTACCACATATAGTGGACTGACAGACGTTAGAATTCATGCATCATTAGATTCCGTCCCACTGCAGAAGAGTCCTGATGCTGGACAAAATAACTATCTTATATTCTCTGGTTTTTAATGGTTCTCTAACTAATATATCATTTCTTGATCTAGTTTAAAATCAATCAATAAGCTCTCTCTCTCTCCGTATCTACATTCCATTGATGTCTGGCTAGTGTAAACTGTTTTTTTACAACTACTAATAATAATGTCATGTGATCATTTCTATGCATGGCATTCATTAGAAAATGAAGCTACTAAAGTTCAATTGTCAATGGAGAAAAGAAAAGCACAATTTTCATTATTCAGGTCTAAAGTTTTCAAATGAAACATTAAGTGCAATTCCCCTCTTGTTTACTGCAGTTAGGCAGCGGTAGCATTGTTTCACGAAACGGCAGAACTTAACATCTATATGGGCTATTAGATTCCCTCCTACCTAGTAGGATACAATGGTAAAGGCGGTTACCTCATAACATTGTGGTGAGAGCTGGCTGCTAGCCAAAGTTGGTAGACAGTAAGTAATTGACGTCAATGTTTATGTCCCCAATATTGGTGGTGAGAAAATGATGAGAACAAAGGCTTTGCGTAGGCGGATACAGTTAGCATATAGATGATCTGACACAGCCACAACGAGAGATGCAAGGTTAACTTTCTGTGAGAAACAACCAATCAAAAGAC